TGGAAGCTGCGCGTCAACCCGACGAAAGATAAGCCAGAGAGCCGGGCAAACACCGCCAGCACCCCAGCCGGTCGCTTCCGAATCGGCGCTCCGTCGCTCTGTCCTTCGCGCACCCCCAGCGGACGCCGCAGGGGAGCGAGAGAGACAGCGCGACACTGTTCGGAGAGAGCCGGCTGCTGCGTTGTGCTGCCGATACCGCGGGGGGGTAAGTAAACTCGAGAGCAAGAAAAATTCCCTTGCGCTTCATCACCGCGAAGGAACACGATAAGGGGGAGACGGCGTAGAAGACCTGGGCGGCAACGTGTCCAGGGGATGCGAGAGCGACAGAGACTCTGGATCGCTGTGCCGCGGCGATTGACTTCGCGAAGGCGCGTGCCAAAACGTGACAGGCGCTACGGGGCGGCAGCAGCAGGGGGAGCAGGAGAGGCCTTCGACGTAGGGGAGCGGGATCAAGTCCCACCCCGCCCGCCTGCCGCGGTGCAGGGTGCCCCGGCTGGCCGGAACTTCGGAGCTTTCGAGCGCGGCGGCGACATGCAGACATGCAGTGAAACTGTCGACCTTGGGGCGAGGCAGGGCCAGCATCCTTGGAGGCGTCTGCTACGTGCTCTGGGCTGTGGCTGCCTGCCTTGCCTGCCTTGGCTGCTGCAGGGCCATTGTTTGAGCCGGTTATTAGATCAAGGTCCTGGGTGCTATCACTGTAGGCAAACATCAGCGTGACTCTGGGGGCCTCGGCCCGGCAGGCCCGGCAGGCCCGGCCTCGGGGGCTGTCGCCGCTCCGTCGCTGCCGGTCGGAACGCGACGCAGTGACGACGACGCGCCATCGCCAGAACCCTCCCGTCATGTTTGACGCGCATCCGTGACAAGACGTACCAACTCTGCGAAAAAAAGGTCACATTTTGATTCCGTGGAAACACATCACAAAAGAAGAACTCGAGGGGAACAAGCTAGTCAAAAAACAGGTCAAAATCAGGTTCAATGATTCCGCTTGCTGGTTTCCTTGAGAGAGCACTGCAAAAAAATTTTGATCGACTGTAGTCGATTTTTATTGTACCAAAAGCGGTACCCAATTTGACTTATTTTTACAGTGGGGCCCAGGGCAAGCTGGAAGGGTCCCCGCTCAGAGCCAAAGCACGCTGCGCGTGGAAATTCCGTCGATTCCCCGGAGGAGTGAAAACGCAGCTTTTGTTGGCCGATCAGAATGCGGCGCTAGCTGCAGCGCGGACTCGCTGCCAACGGAAACCTACAGTGTGTTCGCCTCGCCGAGGGTTCAAATACCGCGCCTCGCCTCGCCTCCACCCTCTACCGGCTGCGTGGCTGCTTGGCGCCGTGGCCGCGGCGTGCGTCCTAGCGAGTGAGCGGTCATGTCGCCAAGGACTTGGCATCATGAGGCACTTGGCTGGCCTGGCCTGGCCAGCGCACTGTTCTTGATGGCAAGGAGCCGAGCCGCCGCCGTGGCTAGCGAAGCTAGCGAAGCGCTTCGAACCGATTGGGAGTGGTGCGACTAACGAACGCTCTTCACCTTCGCCGTCATCAAGGCCCCGGCCGGCACCACGCCCTCAGCAGCGCGTCAAGGCTTCGGCCCGCCCGGGACGCGGGAAGCGGGCTTTGCCGGAGTATTTGAATCGTTGATGGAACAGTTTTGGCTTGCCGGACTGCACCGCACTGTCGGCGGACTTGTTCCAGAACGCAGGGGGACGCGTTGACGCGTGCCGGCCAGGCGGCGACGTCGCCGCGAACGCCTCATCGTCCTCCCGCGAGGAGCGCACTTGTCGCTGGCGATAAAACGCGGCAAATGAGAAATAATTGCGTTTCCGCGAGAACAAAAAAGAATACAGACCGGAGAGGACGCTCCGTGACGACTTTTGACGTTCTGGAAGTTTACGAGCACCGAACAGCGGAACGGAGTCGGAAAGTCGGAACGTCGGAACGGAGGTAGCGGCGAGGTGTGGTTGGTGTGAACGCGTGGCGGAGTGTTGCCACGACAGTGGCGTAGCCGAACTGACTCGGAACAGTGCTTTCGTCGCTCGTAAGGTGACGGGAGAGACAGAGAGAGTGGCTGGCCGTTCGCGTCCGGACGAGTCCTGCCTCCCGCATTCAGGTCTCCCTGGGGAGGATTTCGGCCATTTTCGCGGCGCGGGGTTCGTCGCCGAAATGACATGTTGCCAACGTTCCCACGCTTGAGGCCGAGCGTGGGCCGCCGCGCCGCGCACCCGTTCGCTCAGAAGGCCGAGCCAACCGCAGGGCTCGGTTTGTGTGTGCGCGCATGTCTGTGTGGGTGCTGCGAGCGTCGATCGGATGACCTTTCCCAAACAGACGATTCTGTCCGCCTGACCGGTGCGGCGGTGCGGGGGCCTACTCGCCCACTGTAGGCCCACTGGGTACTGATTCCAAACTCGAACAGTACTCTCTCGCACTCATGGAGGGTTACGCAGCGGTGCGACGAAAGCGCTGTTCGGAGTCAGCCTGCCTGCAGTACCGACTGGACAGGTCTCTAGAACTCTCCAGAACTGTCCAGCACCGCCCGGGCAGTTGCCCCACCCCACAGGCAGCCGGGCTTGCAGCCAGCCGTGTTGGAAGTGGTTTCGGCTGCCTTCAACAGTGTACCCGCGGCGTGGAGGTGGACCCTCCCGAATCGCAATAAAGCTTGATGAAGGGTGTCGAATACGAATCTGAATCCGGCTCGGCGACGGCGCCGCGCAGCACGGCGGCGAGGCGGGGGAGTGGCGGGGCGTGGCGTCCGATTCGTGGGGCTTCCCGAGCTAGTACAGTGTGTAAACTCCAGGCACTGGCCCGGCGGCGGCGCTGGTGGTGCGGTGCCAGCAGTCAAAGCCAGGCAAGGCACGCTGGGCTGTCCTACCTCAATAAACAAGGCAGCCTGCGGGTTTACAAGGAGAGGCCGCACGTCGAGGTAATGTGCTCCGGTTCTGTCCCCCTCGCACTCATCGGGCAAGCCGCAGGAGCGCGAGAGAGACAGGGCGAATGTCTGCCCTTCGACGAGTGGGGCGACGTCACGCGGGCTGGGCAGTGCAGTGCAGTGGCGGGGAAGTCCACTCGACCCCCCAAAGCGGGGTGAAAAACGAGGGGCGCGAGGTTCGGCCTTTTGCTCGGCCTTCGAGGACGCTGCCGATCTCGTTAAACGCCATGAGTCGATGGCAGTGACTGGCTGTGGGCTGGCACCACCACCACCACTGCCTTTGTAGCTCGGCCGAGTGCGCAGTGTGCCTGCATGTCGAGTGGGCCCTCCTCTGGCGCTCTAGCGCCACCCACTTCCAAGAACGTGGCGCGCCTCGCAGCAAAAAGGCCCGCCGCCAGTGCATCCCGAACACACAAGCACATCCTCCCATTCGTCCGGGCCATTTATCGCCCTTCCACCTGGTTTGACGCTCCTCGTTCGTGTGTGCTTTCATGCGATATTTTGTCGCTATTATCGGTCCGAACCGCTCATATTCGCGTCCAGAGGCGCATCCACCTGTAAAATGTATTCCGTGACACGGTAAGTGAGCGGGCTGGCACGGCAAGGCACGGCACGGCTCGTCTATCGTTCATTACGCTGACCTTATTCCTCACGGTGAACCCTCCCGGGGGCGGGGCGGGGCGGGGCGCTGGTGACGCGGAAAAAAAGGGGGGACGCTCGCCTCGCCAATCACCCCCCCGGAGTTTCCTGCATGACCGCGCCGAGCAGGCCGGGCAGGCCGAGCACGTGGGGGCCATTATGTGGAGCACCGGGAGCTCCATCAGCCGAGAGCATGCTCCGCGGCGCTGCAGCTCTGCAGCTCGCTGACGGAAGGAGAGGGAAGGGAGTTAGCTTGCCGGGAGTTTGCGAGGAGCGCACAGCAAGTGGCCGCGCCAGCGCGCGCCAGCCCCCAGTCAGCGCCGCGGGGGGGCGCGACGTTTCAGCATTTTGTTAGTTTTGTTTTTCTTATAGCCTACACAGGAAAAAAAATCGTGTCCGTGACACAAAATTATTTTTCTCTTTTGCAAGTGCGCAGTGTCGTGGCATCCGTGATTTTCCTCCAAAAGGGACGATGTTTTTGTTTGTCCTCCGAGCTCCCCTCCTTGACTTGCTTGCAGTGTTTGGCCGCCGCGACGGCACCGCGACGAAAGCACGTGCCGAGAAGCGAGGCAGCGAGGCATGCATGTGACAAACGTGTCATTTCGCCTTGCCGCGAACTTTGTCCCCGCATCCGTAACGCACAGTGTGGCTTTTCTTTTCCAATGCTTGTTGTCCAGGGCGCTTGTTCTATTTTGGCGAACGCCAGTTGCCCCCGTTGGTCCATAGAGCCTACTGAAAATCAACCGAATCAACTGTGCTTCTCCGCGGTTGATGCCAGGGAAAAGGAGGTGGTCTCTCTGCCAATATAAAGAGCGCTGTGCCGATAACGTTTGTTCTGCATGACTGCGTCCAGTGATGCACGACGACGACGTCGATGACGTCCAGCGCGCTGTCGCTTTCGAGAAGCTCGCGTCGTGCGAGCGGCCGGCGCGCGCTCCCCGGTAGGCAACCGGCAATTGAAGCCCCTCGTGGGGGCAGTGCGGCAACACGCTCGCCTCTCGCGCGCCCGCGTTGCCCACCTTCCGGGCGCTCCCGGCGGCGGAGAGCGCGCTCGGCTTGACGCGCACCCTCACCCTGGTGGCGGTCGCGGCGTCGGGGACGGAGCGTGGATGCGGCGCCTCGCCACGCTCGCCACGCTCACGGCGCGCGGTGTTGTGGGTGCCGTGGCGTGGCACTGCCGTGGCACTGCCGTGTGTGCTGGCGACGGTGGCGACGGTGGCGGCGGCGCGTGGCGCGGGATGGTGCGGTAGGCCGCGCTGCTCCGCGCCGCGATTGGCCGCCGGGCTCCCCCTCCCCCTTCCCCCGTGCCCTCCGGTGGCGGTAAGGCGGCGGCGGACCGGCGGCGCGCGGAGCCGAGCCGAGCAGCGCGCCGAGCCGAGCCGAGCCAGGGGCCGCGGGACCGGGCCGAGCCGGGCCGGTGAGGTAGAGCAGTGAAAGACAGGTATCTAGGTGAAAAGGCGAGTCAAGAGCCTTCAGCCGCAGTTGGCTTGTGGAGTCGGTCGGTCGGAGTAGTCTGTTCAGAAGCGCCGCGAAGCCGCGAAGCGACGAGCGCCCCGCCGGACGGACAGACAGACGGACAGGGAAGGACAAGCGAGCGTTGAGTCGCGTCCAGGCCGTGCAGGCCGTCCAGGCCGTTCAGAACGCGAGGCAGACCGCGAGGCAGTGCGCGAACCGAGTCGACCGCGGCGGGACAAGCACAGGGCACGGAGGTACTTGACTTTGTGAATGGGTGTGAGAGTGATTATGTTGGGGCGGGGAGTTGCCCCATGTGCATCATCGTGGTGAGAGTGTCTCAAGAGACCTGACAGCACCTGACAGCGCGCCGCCCAGCAAGCCAAGCAAGCAAAGCAAGCAGCACACGCCGCCAAGCACGTCTTCACCTGCCCAGCATTCGCAACCGCGCTGTGAGTACTCGAGCGGCGCTGCGTGGGACGCAACACCCGTTTCGATCGTCATTTTAAAATTGGTGATTCGGATAAGAAAGCACTCCATGAAATCTCGCCTGAAAATAAGTGAACTCGGTTATAATCGGTTTTATGGTTGTGTTGACTTTACTTAAGTGAGTCTGTGCCTTAATGTCGCGAACACAAGGGCCAGAACGCGCGTTGCTACACCAGTCCTCGCGAAACCCAAATTCGAACGTTGGCAGCTTCCAGACCCTTGTCGTCCTCGCCCACCGCTTGTCCTCAACCGCCCTGAATTTGCGACCAGTTAACGCGCCTGCCAGCAAGGACGCACACTCGTGCTCCAGCCCGAGGAGCGCGCGACGGAGGCCCGCTCCGCGCTCCGCCCGGCCGCACTGGCAGTGCTGGCAGTGCCAGTGGCATCCACGTTTTGCAACCGCCATGGCGCGCCACCTCGCGGAAAGGCGCTTGTGGTGAAGGGAGCTGGTCGGGAACGCTGTCATGAGGTCAGCTGTGTAAACGTGTGTGCGTGTGTGTGTGCGCGAGTGGTTTGCCCAGCACGTGGACGGCGTGGACCCGCGCGCGTCTCTGCTGAGGGGAACAAGGCGAGAAAGTTTTTCGCATATAATCGTGTTTCGGGATGGACCAACCGGCTAATCTTCAGCCAAGTTTCGCTGCAGCATCCGCGAGGACCAGGCCGAGGGAGAGAGGGGGAGGGGGTGAAGCGGGGGAAAGGAGAGACAGAGACAGAGAGAGCGGGAGCGATGGATGGCGTGTGTGTACCTGTAGCGTGCAGCTCAAGTCCCACATAACCGATTTTCTGCTCAGCGCCGGTGAGACAGTAATGCGTGTAGCTTTGCTTGGCTTTGCTTGGCTTTGCCTCGCCGCCGGCCAGCCTGTGCAGCCTGTGCTTACCCGCACACAATCCGGGAGCAAGGTTGCTGAATAAGCTGGCCTTTTTATGGGGGGGAGGGGGCCATGATTTTTTTTGCAGTTTCGGCTCGTCGATGCCGTGACGTGAACTGCCTTGAGTGGAATCCACCCACCCACGCCGGTCTGCCTCAAGTGGGCAGCATCGGCAGGGGGCAGTGACAAAGGGGTGCCCTTACTACTGAGGTCGCTCGAGCGGGCAGTAAAAAGGGGGTGCCCTTACTACTGGGGCTGCCGGCGCCGCCTGGGGCCCGGTCGCGTCCACGTGGTGTGGATCCACTTAGTGCTGGTTCTTGCCTCTCCTTCTCTCTGGGACGCTCCGCGAGTGCGAGAGGGACACAGCGACCACGGCGCCGTCGCCCCGCAGCAACCGGATTCAAATTAATTGCGGGGCGAAAACTAATGGCAGGGTACTCGCAGAAAACCGGTTGTCCTGCCGCACCGCCTCTCACTCAATAAGACATGACCGGGCCGCACTACGGCCCGCGACGCCCCGCGACGCCCCGCCTCGCGACAGCACGGCAAGCAAGGCACGCAAAGCACGCAGAGCACGCAGAGCGGGCCAAGAAAAGGAAAAGAAGGGAAGAGCCAGGAAGGCGTGAGGCAGCAAAAATAGCCCAACAGTAAGCTGTAGGATAACCAAATCAAGCTATGATTGGGTGGCGCAGTCTGCTCTAGCTCGTCTCACTCGGTCAGGTCCAGGTGGTCGGGCGAGGCATGGCAGGGCACGGCGGGGCCTCTCCGCTCGCCCAGTGGGGTGCAAAGAGCGCGTAAGTGATTGCCCCCTCTCCCACTTTGCCCCGTCGCCGCGTGGTTCCAACGCGAACCCCGTTAGGCCACCTCCATTCGCAATTTGGCAGCACATCATGCGGATAGTCTTTGAATGACGGGTGCCTCCCTGCAGAAGGGAGCACGTTTTATCGGTACCTCCTGGGGTACTACGATCCTGGAACTGTTCCTAGGACCGTCTAGGACTCTAAGGAGGGGGAGGTGACTAGCGGAGACATCCACGCACGAGTCCATGCCGCGCAGCGAGCAATGTCCTTCAGCTCCTGCGAAGGGATGGACCAACGGGATGGATGGGCCAATGGGATAAACCCCTCACTCTTTCAGTGTGTGTGTGTGTGTGTGTGTGTGTGTGTGTGTGTGTGTGCGTGCGTGTGTAGTTATTTTTTGACGCCGGAGGTTCATGCCTACCGCCACTGCATGAACAAACGGGACGGACAGTTGTGATTTGCCAGAGGGTCATCATTTCAGCACACACACGCACACAGACACACACACAACCAGAGGCTCGCTGACTGACTCACACACACAGACACACAAATACAGGAAGTTTGTCATTTGGTCACTTTAATTGGGCGCAAGCAGAGAGAGAGAGCCACAACCTTTGTCATGCAATGTCAAACTGCCTTGGCTCTTCGGTCCGAACCTTCGCGGAGGACTAGTTGGGACTGTGCCGCAATTTCGGCGCAACAACTGCACTAGCCTCGTATGGTGGCGGCCGTAGGTCAGTAAGAGTGGTCTGGGTGTACATCAACACGTGACATGTTACCCAGTCATGGAAAATCTTTATTTCTGCACTGGGTTCGATATGAACCAGCGGAGGTCTAGTCCATGGACAGCGAGGCAAATCAGAGCATTATTTTACTGTCAAGTCTAAAAGCGCGAAATGGCGTGCTGGACGAAAAGATGACGGGAAAAGTGGTGTCGGGCTAGTGCCATCAGTATGGTCTAGAACGACGTACAGCATGCTGTGCACCGCCGCACCGCCCAGCGGCGTTCGCTCATATGTTTTGCCCATGAAAATGTGGACAAGAGAAGCGCGTGTTGTGTAAGATTGGCGTGTGTGACGACAAAAGTGTCGAAAGGGACAGAGAGGAACGAGTCAGATTTTGGCAGAGATGCACGTATGAGCTCGCGCGTATCCCCTGCACGCGAAAGAAAGTCTCGCACGAAAGTCGCCGTCGGCCAGCCAACTGCCTTTGGCTTTGGCCGCCTTTGACCGCCTTTGGCAGGAACGCTGCCGCGCCTACGCGCCTCACTCACCAATCGCACGACCAACTTCTTTTGATGCTCCACAAACTGAAACGTAGCGCACGCCGTTTGATCTTCGACAGCCAGAGGTGTCAAGTTCAAGTCCTAGATGTCCTGAGAACCCCTGCACTTCCCAGGGTAGGCCGTCGTCGTGCACGCCTGTCGACGGGACTGCCTACCTCCCAGGCGCTCTCCCGGGGGAGGGGTTTGCAGTGGCTGTGCGCGGCAGTGACTCTCGTGTGAGGTTTAACGACCGGAGGCCCGACAAAACGCTTAAAGTACACTCACGCCTAAAAGCTAACATCACAAACGTTATTTTTTAAAAAAAAAATTTAAATGGCTGCTGTATGCGCCTGCGCGTGTTGGCGGCAGGCCCGGCGCGCTCGGAGGCTCGGCAGGCGCACGGCATCGTGGATTGAGGATGCGCGGGACAGCCGCGCAGGTCATTTCCACGAGCCGAATAGTCGAGGTGGCCATGAGCCGCAGGGCGCGGCGTGGCGCTGCGCGGCGTGCCTCTCAGTGCCTGCGCCGCACCGTGCCGTGCCGGGCCTAGCTCATACTCGTGTCGTCCCGGCACCGCCAGGGCACCGCCAGGGCACCGCATGCTCGGTTCCGCTCGTGCGGGCCGGGCCAAGCTCCGCCAGCCCAGGCCCGGCCGGCAGGCCCGAACCGTACTTGGTCTCTCTGTCTCTCTCGCGCCCCCGAGGGCCGGCGCACGAGTGCGAGAGAGACGGGGAGGTACTGTTCGGAGTGAGCCTGCACGCCAGGCCGGGCCTGGCCGGGCCGGGCTGGCACGCAATATCGCGCCGTAATGATCGCCTTTGCTTGCTTTTTGTTCCGTCAATGATGCTGCTGTTGTCACAACGCCGAACGGCAGCCGAACGGCGGCAGCGAGCGCGGAACGCTGTGCTGGCGGAGCCATGGCGGGGCCCGGCCGGTGTTTTAGCCGCCAGTGGCCGCCAGTGGCAGCCAGGGGAACGGTCCAGCCATGGTCCAGCCGCCGCCGTTGGTCTAAAAGCCAGCGAGCGACAACAAACTACTACTGCCATCCTTTCGAAACAGGTTCCTCCTCTTTCATAATGATCGTCATGTGGCGAGTTACTTTTCATTTTGTTGTTGATGTCGCTTTCGTCATCACACCTCGACGCACCGCCGAGCACCGCCGAGCCCTCCACTCCAATGAGGCGGTGCGGCTCATAAAACTCCTCGTCCTATGCATTCCTTCTTGTCCGCCTGCAGCAGGCGCTGGGTGCTGTGTTTCATTTCATTGTCATGTGTGTGTGTGGCTGCGTATGTGTGTGTGTGCCAGGCGCTTTGCATGGACGACCTTCCCTTCCCCGTCACAGTGGCCTTCTCTCTGCGCGGGCCTCGTGGCACATGGCACATGACAAACACACACACACACACACGCACACACACAGACAGTCAGACACACAGCACCCGACACCTATGCACTCGATCCTTTCCAGGTCGCAGTCCGTAAAAAGACATGCGGCGTCGCATTGGGATCGTCCGTCGCGCGCCCTTCTCTCGGAGCCGGATTGTACAACACGTAATTACCTCCCGGCGCTGTGTGTGTGCGTGTGTGTGATGCGCCGCGCTAGCCGCTTTTCGCGGTGTTCGTGGCGTTGGCGGCGCCGCGGGGCAGGGTGGGGTGGTGGAGCCAAAACCGCCAAAATAACTCCTCGGCCGGCCGATCCGCGCGGCGCGCAGCGGCTCCGGCGAGCCTATCCCATCCTATCCGGTTCCCTGTATTGGTCCGACCAATTAGTAGTGGCGAGACCCGCAGGCCACAGGCACCGGCAGCCCCGCTGCTGCGCACATCGCCCAGGTCCTTGCCCTCGCCCACAGAGTTTGTCGCGCGGACCGCGCGCTTTCCGTACAAGCGAGCCAGCGCACCGAAGCGGATATCCAGTTTAGTTTCAATTCTCATGAACGGCTTGCACAGCGTAGGATGACAGGATTACAAAATGGTCTTTTGAACGTCTACTTTGTTGTTGTTATCACAACAGTGCTAACAGTGGCTGAGAAAC